GTGAATTGGTGGGTTTTTGTTAAATGTGAGCCAAAATCATCACAATTAAAAGAACCAAAGACTTAAACTACTTCAGTCTGTGTGCATTGAATTTATTTAATACATGAGTTTCACAATTGGAGTTGAATTACTGAAATAAATGTACTTTTCCACGACATTCTAATTTATTGAGATGCACCTGTACATACAACACTTTATGTAGGATATAGGTTCTAATAATTTCAAGTAGTTTCTACATAATGTGTGGGGGCTGGGTAAACATATTCCAGTAATGTTGAGCAGCGTTCTGGCTAATCGTGGGCAAATGTTAAGAGCAGTTCCAGATCATCAGCGCACTCTAATTTTGCTCATCCTTTAAGCTGTTCAATCTGCTTAAGCCCCTCCCCTTCCCTTGTGGCCGTATGGCTAATAAAGAGCCTTGAGCCACTGGATTACAATCACAGCCTCATAGCCACTGACACGGCCCACCTGCAATACTTCTCTCACAGCCAAAGCCTCAGATTAAATGCACCGTTACAAAGAGCCAAAAACACAGGGCTGACACACTTGAGATTTTACAAAAACTGACAACGTTGGTATCATAAAACATTATTTTTAACATTTTGTTACTCCAGTGATATTCTTAATCCTAGATATGGCACAGAGATCTTGTTCAATGTAAATTTTATTTTTTTAAGCTCGATTTGTCTTCTGCAGGCCAAAAATTCAATTCTAAAACTCCAATGTCATAGCACAAGTTTTTAAGTATCTTTCACGTCTGTACCACAAACGGTGTGGAACAAGTTACGTCTAACGTTTAATAAGGGAATAGCACGAGCAACAAATGCATCACTCATAATGAAGATGCTGCTAAAACATTTAACTTTACATCATTATTTATTTATCTGGAAGGATGATCCATTCAGAGCTTGAAGAAGGATCATCTGTCCCATATTATCATATAATAGTGTCTGCAAGCTCTTAAAACAACATCTTTCCAAAGTTCAAGCAGAGAGAGAAACTGCAGTCCACCTTTAACTGCCTCTAAATCCAATAAACTGCCACACACAACAATCACTTACACACTATCAGATCTCTTCTCACCAAATAAACTCAGCACCAAATGGAAACAGACTGTCATTCAAGATTACCAGGGGAGTCTGTATTTAAAGTTCAGTTAGATGTTCAGCTAGGGAAAAAAGGCCTCTCATACCACGCAAATGCTTCCAACTAAACTGGACATGAAAAAGATAAACCTACTTTTGTGCCATAAATTCCCTGTACTGATTCCCGGTGGTCAGCGCAGTGAAATTTACAAATGCAAAGCCTGACAGGCCGAGATAAATTAAAGAGAACAATGCAGAAGCATAGACCATCAGGCCAAAACAATAAATGTCTTACATGTGTCTGCGGTGGATCTCCATGATCTTTTCTTGCACACGTTCCTGATATGGCAGCAATTTATTAATCTTCAGAAACTCCCTGTCTGCTATGTCATCGTAGTCACCGATCTCAGCTGTGTGGGGGAAAGAGAAAGGTAAAGGGTCAAAGACAAATAAGAGTGTCCAAGAAAAAGAAAAGGAAAAACACAAGTTCTTAGAAATAGACTGTTTATGCTGGTTTCATATGGTATTAAAAAACTTTTTTGGTACAAATATTTCTCAATATTATAGTTATTACTGATCAAATATTGTAGCCTAAGCGAGCATAAGAAACTTCCTTCAAAAACACTGTATAAACAGTAGTATAAATATGTTATTTTTGGGGGCTGCACCATAAGATATTTTACTACCTTAACCTATACAAATGTCCAATTACCTGATATTTCAAGAGACTTACTGACCTTGACACACAGTAAGAAAGATGCAAGAGCCATCTCTACAATACTGTTTTATGATATTTTTATCTCATAAAACACATACATATTCAAGCCACTGAATTTCAATTTTAAAGGGGTCATGAACAGAGAATCAAAATTCCCTCGATCTTTTGACAAATAAGACGTCATTGTACTATAAAAACATTCTGTAAGTTTCAGAACTCAGAACTTTCTCAGTTTAAAGCTGCAGTCCCTACGTTTTTTTGGTTAAAAATGATCTGAAATCAATATTTGAGCAAGTACATAACCAGCCAGTGTTCAAAATTATCGCCTGACTTTAGCCCGATTCACAACGTTAAACTTATAATAATGTTTTCTAATTTGAGTGGCCACTGCGTCATTAAGTCACGTCGGTAAACAAAGAAGTTGTCCCGGCTATAGTAGGCTATATCACATGTGAGGAACCTGCAGGTGGCCCCGGATCATTTATAGACTTTTTTCACAGCAGCTGGAATAATTCAATTTATCATTTTGATGGCGGATTGTAATCCAGAAAGGATTAGGTGTTTATGAAACACAAGTGACTGAAATTAAATACTATTCCAGTTTTAAATGTGCATCTGATTACAGATAGCCTGGGATTACACACAAATTGTATTTTAAGACAACCAGTTTGAAGGAAGACTAATTTGCTTTTTGGGTTAAAGGAATTTCTTAATATGAAATTTGAATGGTATGACAATTAGAGATTAGACTGTACAGAAATTAAAATCTACACGCTAATACACACTATACTCATAGTCACGCAATGCTGATTTTGTTAACATTAACAATTATAGAACAAAGTATAACAATAATAATTTGCACGGTTTGATGTGATATGAGCTAACCGATCGTTAGATTTAATCACCATTGGTAGCGCAATTTATTGTAATGCTTTTTACTCAGTTGGTCAGAACAAACGTGGCAGACTTGTTACTTGTTCAGATGACAATATACGGTGAAAATTCTTATTTGGGTCATATATTCCAAGACGTAGGTTAGAATATGTGATTCCTAAGTACAGTATCCACACTGGTGCGGTGACTGACAGCCACACATACTCCTCTAAACATTAGATTCATCCGCGCTAGAGCTGTGCCGGTGCACAACCCAGGTAATGAAGATAATTGCGCAAATAACTGCAAATGTAGGTTTTCAAACAGAGATGGCGACAAAGAAGCAAAACTTATGGACTGCAGCTTTAAAAAACAAATGTTGAAGCCAATCTGCAAAAACGACAGGTTGTGGAATGTGCCACTCTATGACGTAATAGTGTGGCTAAACTCCGTCTCCACAGAAGATGATCAACGCCTGCTTCTACATCGCTGCCTATTTAGCCCCGCCCATGTAGTGTAAATAACAAGAGAGGCAAACGCAGGTCTACGCAGAAACCAAACGATAAAGATTGCTCCGAAGACAACAACACCCTGTACAGTGTCAATCTGTGGAAAAACACAATCTTTCTTCGTCTTCCTTCTGATCCCAACGTTAGGAAAGAGTGGATGAAGTTTCAGACCACGTCAGTAAGAACTAGGTCCTTTCTTCATTTTACCGTGGATTCGTTTACAAACAAGGCACAATTCGATGCAGGATTTTCAGAAAGACTGAAACTAAAAGATGATGCTGTGCCTACTATATTCGATCCGACAGTAATGTTGCAATACACAACTGTGAGCAACTGTTTTTGTTACGTGGTCACTATTGCTTTGTCTGTTATTTCAGATCGTTTTAACCTAAAATCAAAGCAGCGTCCATCTGTGAAGGATGCAGGCTGTCAGACATGCACAACTGTTAGCCAATCATAGCAGTGGGCGTTTACTTCCGAGTCTACAATCCATTATAAGTGGATCTCAGAGAACAGTAAAAAAACTAATAAAAAGGCAATTCATGACCTCTTTAAAGGGGTGCTATTATGCTTTTCCACTTTTCAAACTTTAGTTAGTCTGTAATGTTGCTGTTTGAGCATAAAAAAGATCTGCAAAGTTACAAAGCTCAAAGTCCAATTCAAAAGGAGATATTTTATTTAACTAGACGAACTTAGAGTGTTTACAATCATTCGAGTTCAAATCGCACTCAAATTGAATTGATTTTGACGCAATATTTACACCAAAGCTCGCAGGCGGCTATGGTAAGGGGCATGACATTTCCCGACTAGGCGCCGAGTGCTGCCAATCACAACACACACTGGCCCAGCTAACCAATCACAGCACATTTCATATTTCAGAAGGCGGGCCTTCATTTGATACAGGAACTATTCGAGCTGTTCATGCCAGACTGGGGAGAGAGGTGTTGTAATAATGTAAAATATGTGAAAAATAATGTGTTTTTCGAACAACCTAGTATGACAGCCTGTTCTAGTACACCCCCAAAACAAAATCAAGACTTTGTAAAAGAGCATAATAGGACCCCTTTAATGCATTTTTGAATAGATTAATAGAGGCAGGAAAAATAATCATGTCAATGATCAAAAACATTACAAAGCAGAGAGACAGCAGAATCAGTGTAACAAAGATTTAAAGGGGTCATATGATGCTTTTTTAAAGATCATTATTTGGTGTATTTGGTGTAACAGAACATTATGCAAATATTTCCACATAGTGAGGTAGATATGTGGGGGCGTGTTAGAACGAGGCGTTTTAGGGGGGCGTGGCAGAGTCTTAACTTTGATAAAGAATATCTCTTTGGTTTTGAGACTTTAGTCTTTGCAACTTCAGGGTTCTTATCTATGCACAATCAGCTTGTAACACTCCAAAGAGAAAGGAAAACTTGAAATCGCATCATATGACCCCTTTAAAACATTATGGCGGACAGGAGTCAGGACTTCAGGTACATCAACTGACTCATATTATACATACATTGAACCAAATGAGAGGCCAGCAGGGCGGCAGTGTTTTCTGTACAGTTCAGTCGGCCCTCTATTAGATCCCTCTTGATTTGCAGAGAAAACAAGTACCTGGAGAAAAAGTACATAGTTACAAGCATCGTTCAGCTAATCAGAATATAAAACATGGATGATGACTCTCAACATCCTACCTAGTAAACTCCTCCTGAAGCTGACCAGGATCTGGAGGAAAGAACTTCACTGACAGCCGAAAGAGTGTGTTCATCGGCCCTGTGAATAGTAAGTATAAACACACAAGTTTCAAAAACCCCAAGATCCTCTGATCTCTAAACACAACACAAAACATTAAGTGTACTTACGTCTCACTTGTTTCACTATGAGCTTGGTGGGCTCCAGCCAAACCTGTTGAAATGAAACAGTGCAGAGTAAGACTGGCATTTCAGCTTTTAACCACCTTATAAAGTCTAAGCAATAAATACAAATAATCTCTCACACTTTCAAACTACATCTGTTTCTGGTCTTTCAAGAAAGCACTAAAACTAAAGAACATCTTGGTCACAGAGGCCACAGATAAGATCTTGAGATGCTGACCACACCAAAAACATATTTCAGGAATTTTTGGAAAGCTATTATCAGCTATTATTCAAATGCTCCGGGATATGCACATTTTTAATTCAAACCTCTGTGCTTGCCTGTTTTGGGGTCGTGTATAGATGTGATGATCTGTTTTAATTGTGTGTGTCTGCAGAGTTTGTAGACGCCCTGCTCCTCCAAGCACATCTGGAGCTGATTGTGGCAAGAATGTACCTTTTCTCACTCCACCTCCAGCTCCTTCTACTCCGCTGACCTCTCATCTTTTACAGAATCATCACAACAACCCCATACACACACACATTCCACACCTGATTCAACTCTCTCCAAAAAACCTGGCTTGGCACACTCAAAAACAGATGGCCAACAGACTGTCTCCAGTGCTCATCTCAAAATTACTTATGAAAAAGTAAAAAAAAAAAATAATAATTTCACCAATGATAAAGAAACCAAGATGAAAAAGATGCATTATGGCGATAACTAAAATGCCATGCTAGCGGGTTTATACAGCACAACAGCCCTTTGTCAGCAGCCTCAGTATTTTTCCCAGTTATAATTTAAAAAAATTCAATAAAAAAACAAAAGCCAAATCAAAAAACAAAAAACAAAAACAAAAAACAAACCAAAAATCAAATCCAAAACAAAAAGCAAACCAAAAAACAACAACAAGGCTGTAACAAAAACATTACAAAACACTTTTGAAGGGATAGGGATAATCCACTCAAAAAGGAAAATGTTGTCATCATCTGCTCACCTTCATGTCATTATAAACCTTTATTTCCTACTTCTGCTGGACACAAAAGAAGGTATTTTGAAGAATGTTGGTAACCAAACTGTTTCAGTTCCCTTTGATTTCCTTTGTATTTTTGTCTATGCAATAGAAGTCAATGGGAACTGAAAATGTTTGGTTTGGTTAAATGTTCTTCACAACATTTTCTTTTGTGTTCTACAGAAGAAAGAAATACAGGTTTGGAACAAGAAGAAAATTTTTCATTTCTGAACTATCCCTTTAAGCCTATTTATTATAAAAAAGGACAAGATTATTAAAATAGCTCACAGATAATGTAAAGCACATAATTCAGCAAAATTAAGATTATAATGACTTTGTTACGGACTTAAAGGTGAATTGTGAAATCTCTGTCCCCTGTGACACCAAATAAAAAATAAAAATGTTTCAGTAAATGTTTTACTGAACATTCCTTTCATTGGTCAAACAAAAGGAGAGTTCCATTTATAACTCACAATATTCAGTGAGAGTCAGTGTTGCAATCAATTTACCGATGGATTACTTATTTTCTCTGACTATTAAGCAAGGGTAAGTCATTTAAGATTGAAAAAAAAAAATTACATACTTCACCTTTAAGAAACGTTTTGCTTCTACTTTAGCCTGGATCACATAATCCTTTAAATACATCAAATCTTGTCTTTAATCAACTGTAAAATCTCTAATTTGTGTGTATACTAATTACTATAGTAACTCTGCATAAATATATCCTTTTAAACACGTTTATTTGTAGGTATGTTCTAAAATATAATGATGTGTTCTTTAAGTTTGTGTGCCCGTATCAGGCAGGTTTAAAGGGAACAGTAAACCTCTGGGGCCCAGAGAGAAGCAGCACAAACAACATAATACATCTCCTCATCTTTTAAGAGCTTAGCTGGGTTTTCAGAGGAGCGGGCCGTTCACAATCCCGTCTTTGTGTGAGCAGGGGGACTGTTTGTCAAGTGGCCACTTACCCATTTCATCTGCAGGTTCTGAAACTCCAGACCAAAGTAATCGCTCTCAATGAGATTGATCCGTCTGAGCACTTCAGAGTAAAAAGTTTGCCCATCCGCTTTTGACTACAACAGAGAGAGGAAAAACAAGACATTCAATTATGACATTTATTAAAAAAAATAAAATAAAAAATAAATTAATATTTCTATTTTATTTTTGTCACAATCATGACAATTTGGCTGATTAACAAATAATTACAATTAATGATTTAATTGTCCTTTTCTCTTTAATGCTACATATTGCACAAGATCAAGATGCCATGAAGAGTAATATTCTAAATATTATATTATCTTAAATTTCAATAAATAAGCAAACACATAAATGAATATTTCTCTGCACTTTCCGTTCACACTGATTTTTATTTTTTAATTTTTTTTTGGAACCAATCCAACATAATTAGAATATTATGGTAATATAATATTGATTATTATTGTTGTGATGAATGTCAGAATTGTATGCATTAGTAATACATTTCAGAAAAGATACATGAACTGCATAAAATAACCCCTAACACTTTCTTAATATGTGATTCTTAAAGGGATAGTGCATCCAAAAATGAAAATCATTTACTCACCCATAGGTTATTCCAAACCTGTATGAGTTTCTTTTTTCAGTTGAACACAAAAAGACATTTTGAAGAATATGGGTTACCAAACAGTTGATGGTCCCCACTGATCTCCATAGTATGGAAAAAAAAAAAACAATGAAAGCCAATGGGGCCATCAACATTTTTCTTTCTTTCTTTTCTTTTTGTTTTTCTCGAAATATCTTTTGTGTTCAACAGAAGACATAAACAGGGTTGAAACAGTTTAAGGGCGAGTAAATGATGACAGGATTTTTATTTTTGGCAGAACTATACCTTTAATATTGATTATAACTGCAATTCAATCAAATAATTGAGTGAAAGTCTAACCTAATCTAAGTTCAGAGTTGTAGTTTATTTTATATAACGTGGTCTACATTTCTTCATATTTCTTTTCTGTTCTTTTTTTTTCTTTTTGAAGATTATGGGGTTGTGAGGGGTAAAATACTTAAATATTTCTGTGGAAAAGCAGCTGTGTCTGCTATGAAGTCGCTGGATATTTGAGGCTAATGGGTGTCAGCAGGAAATATCTGTGGGCTATCTGAGTAATTCTCCACAGTAAGCAGCTGGGCCAAAACCAGACACAAGGCCACAACACAGTCAATTTCTGAGATCAGCTGGACTGTCTGTTGTAAACATATAACTGTGAAAGGCTAGGAGAACATCTAAGGACATTTCAGGGCACATAGGCAGTTAAACCTGCTTAAAGAGAAAAGGGTTTTCCCTGAAAAAAAAAAAAAAAAACGACTCAGGGGTTTGTCATTACAAAATGAAAGACTAATTACTATGTACCCAGAACACACTGTGCTTAGGTTTTGCTATTCGAGCCTGTGACTTTCTGGGAAAATTATACAGCAGACAGCTGTTTGTAATGTGAAATGTATTTTTAAAGACCATAAAAACAGCCTGAGTTGAATTGGGCCAGCCAGATTGTTACCCTTCATTTCTTTGGTACGTTCTAAACTTGATTGATTCTTTCTGCCTTTAATACAGTTTCTTAAGTAAAGAATGTGCTCTCCAGGCCAAGCAGGGCAGGTAAGCACCTTCCAAATGGCTTCCTCTAGACTCTGCCAAAACCCGCATCAACATGTACAACACAATCAGTACAAGGAGGAGACGGACCACTCATAGAGAAATTCATAAAGAAATCATAATGCTCAACAGAGCAGCTGTGAATGGACGAATTGCCTTTCATTTACAAGAGTCTTTAATGGTTATTTTGATGTGAAGAAGCAAAATTTATGATGCCATTGTTGTTTTAATGCTGATACGAAATACATTAGGGCTGGTTATCAATACAGATGACCAGATTTGATTCTGATTCATAAGCCCTCAACTTGATTCAGATGTGGAATACATTTTTAATTTCATTTGGGGATATTTCAGTTATAATGTCATTTATAAATTGTCCTCTAATGCTGTAAATTATACAGGGCAGTTCAAAACTGGTAATTCACCTTTTTAAGCTATTCTTTAAAAGAACAGGCCCATAAATGTCATTCATTTTGGAAATCAGGCTACACTGGTTGTGCTGTATATTCTTAATTCCCTAAGAACATCTCTGGTAAAGTATGATTTCTTCTAAAAGGGGGGAGGGGGGTATACAAAAACAGATATACTACTACTAATTCTTTTTGTGAAAGAAAGAAGTTATTACTTTTATTTAGCCAGGATGCATTAAATTGATCAAACGTGACAGTAAATACATTTACAATATGTGTGTTTACATGAAGCTGCAGTCTGATTACAATCGATTTAAAAGTCCACTGCGTATCGATCCGGTACTTTAACGGTATTCTTATCGGTACTTTTTGTTTTATATATATATAAATATATATATATAAAAAAATTAAATTAGCTTAATAAAACAGCCACAGGCCTAAAGTGTAAGCAGACGTTTGAATGTTTAGTTCCCTCTTCTATCATAATTAAACAGGCCTTTCATGTTGCGTGGGCGCGATCTCGCTTCTGAATTGCGACTAGCAAAAATGCATCAGACAAATGTTTGAAAAACAGCTGGCGACTCTGGTGAGATAGAATTTGCAAGATAATGTATATATAGCAATAATAAATGTATGTGTGTTTTCTTAATTTCTCCAGTACCGATAGCAGAACCGTTAACGTCAGAGCTTATCAATACTCCGGTCTTTCATAATTTAGCCCCGAGACCGATTAAATACCGAGTTTCGGTACCCATCCCTACTCATAAATGCACACTTTATTTAGCATTCATGTAAACACCTATGATTCATCAGTAGGAATTATTTATTTCCAATTGAAACAAAAATTGCCCATGTAAATGTGGATATTGTTATAAAAGATTTCAATTTCAAATAAATGCTGTTCTTTTGAACCTTTTATTTAACAAAAAATCCTGAAAAAAATTTCATGGTTTCCTCAAAAAAAAAAAAAAAGTCAGGAACGCATCTTCGATGTTCTCACGTGTGAGGTGTGTCTTATGCTTGGGAGTAAGTTCTACAGACTCTCAGTTCATATACTTCAGCATTAATTGGATTACATTTTTTTCTACAGCTTTCCCAAGCACCCTAAACTAAAAGTCCATTAGAAGTACAGCATAACAAAACTAAGATGTGGATCAACTCTGTGGCGTTGACTGCAACAAAGAAATACCATCTGGAGCATAGTTTCCATAGAGAGAGCAGTGCCTGCTGAACCCTCCAAGCACATAGACGCTATCCAGCATGTAGGAGTTTCCCTGTTACAGTTATTCTGTCAATTGGGCAGGTTTATGGGTCAACAGTGGCTGGGATTACTGAGCAGCAGATGTTCACAGTCTGGGGAATCTTTCTGGTACTCACCATGCCAGCTTGTCAGACTATATTGGCAACTGCTGAATCCAAACTAACAGTAGTGTGTAAGCTTTTTCATTTAGTCTGTCTGTGAACAGAATGTATGTGATCATGCATTTGAGTGCTGACTGTGTTTGGGCATGTTGAGATCTCAGTAGGAGGCATTTCTTTCTCACACTCTAAGCAAGTAGCAGCTTTTGCTGCGTTGCAACGATTCTAGCCACACCTTGACACCAAGTGATAAAAAACATTGTAAATCATTAACCAAGTAAATGCATGGCAGTTACAAGAATGGATTACAGTGTTTCCTATGTCGTGGCTGCTGAATCTTCAGTGCCACAGGCCCTCAGCAAAGGAAATCATATCTGTTCAAAAGAATAACAAGTTCAGTGATTTGAATCAAATCCTTAACTAAATGAACTCACTGACTCAATGATTCAAATTGTGACTTGCTTAAAGGGGTCATATGATGCTTTTTTAAAGATCATTATTTTGTGTATTTGGTGTAACAGAATATATTGACATGCGTTAATGTTCAAAAAACACATTATTTTTCAAATACTGTACATTATTGTAGGTCCTCTATGCCCCGCCTCTCTCAAACGCTTCGTTTTCTACA